TTATGATGCTCATATTGCCTACCCACCTAATTTTCTTGCTCAGCTCGTACAAACTTGCGCTATGTTCGAAGATGAATGTAGTCAGGTCAAATTTCTCACGATTACTCATGTGATCCACCTGCTAGCCGAAACTAGCGTGATTCTTACCTACATGCTACGTCGCAGTCTTGGTGCTTTGCTCTTGGCCTTGGCGAGCCGACCTAAGTGGCAGTCGCTGCTGAAACGTGAAGTATTTGGATTTGTTCGCGAGAATACTATTCAAGAATGTCCAGGAGAAAGCCTCCAGCGGATCTTTTCCTGCAGACATCCATTTAGGGTAATTCGTTTTATCATGCCATTTTAGATTGAAATTGTCGTTACTATTGTCGGGCCCCGAACACTACGATTTACCTATCTCGCTAATAGTTCTGTTAAAATGTCTTATACTCCTTAGTATACTATATTCCTTGTTTATTCATTCGTCTGTATCTAGGCCGCTTAATTTTATTGTACCTCTTTGCCTTATTTATCGGATCATTTTAAGAATATTTCAGCAAACCTGATGCGTAGCATAATCTTTAGCGTGTATACTATGACTTTTTAATATTACTTCACCTATTTGTAACAAGCATTCATGGATCTCAGACATAAAAGTTACTTTGAAGTTTTTTCTAAGATAACTTAATATTTTTATCCCTTTATACTTTTATTAGATCGTTGTCGTTTTCTTAAAGATCCATAACTTTGGATTTATTTACTAATTATCATTGTTTCTGATTCATAAGAATGGAAGCGAACTCATCTTTAACCCATCATTACTAATATTGATGCTTTTCTTTTATCATCGCCTTCCTTTACTTTTCTTCGCTTAGTCTATATAAAGCCGAAACTATTCCCAATCGTATTACCCATAGCTCATTCATTGTTGTCCCGTTTTCTTATTCACCACACGCGTCCGCTGACAGTCATACCGATGTTTAAGTTTGGAAAATCAGGTCTGCTGTATCTGGACCAAGGCCCTGGCACACGAGGCTATGCGTTTCACTTGCCCTGGATGGCCGATCGGTGCGCTGCGGGAGGCCATGCAAGATGGGAGTATCCAAGAGTGGGACTATTGCGAAGGTGAATAAAATTTATTTTTCAGATCCCTCTAACTCCCAATGTTTCTGCATTACGTCTTTATTTATCGTGGATGATAATGATGATGTTATAAAAATAGCATTGGCAGATATTTTGTTTGACTACATTTTGAATCTATCAATTCTAAAGCCTTGGCAACATTCATCCTATTTAAGCATTCCATGCGTTTTGCGAGTTTTTTTAGTAAATCCTAAATATATTTGGTTTAGCAGGCGAATTCAATTATTGCATTCGACTTTATTACCCTTAGCTTTTGTGGTCAAGCCGATGCTTTGTAGAGTTGGCTCTACTTCATTTTCGCAGTTAGTTCGTATTTAAGGGCGAATTCGAAGGGCGTACTCCTTACTGAATCTTCTCTCATTGCCACCATTGCTGCTTCTTCATCTTCCTTTCGTTAACGTGGAAAATAAGTGCAATGACATTTACTAATAAAGTATCATGACAGAGAGGAGTTATGCATGAAATTGGTCTAGGGGATTTCCCTCACATAACACCAGCGGGTTGTAGCTCAGCTCTAAGAATGATATTCCTCATGGAAGGCACCAACTGTGATGTCAACAAAACGTCTGGAAATCTATATATTTAATGTTGTGATTCCATTACAGCATATGGCAACAATGGAGTAGGATGCACTAAGGGGCACATTTTTCGAGTCTCCTTGAAGATAAAGCTACTTTGCGAAAACTAGATTAGACTTACCTTATTATTTTATTGACCTTGGTTTCGCAACTTGGTCATATTAGCAAGAAGACCTAAAGGAACACACCTTGTCCTGAGTCCATTGTATGCATCATCATTTCCAGAGTAAGACCGTGGACGTGGTACATTCCCAGACGTTTCGCCG